CCTTCGTGAGGCCCCGGCTCTTCGGGGTAGAGGAGGGGAGAGGGCTCGTTTAGGACTCTCGTTAATCCTGTTAAGCCTGCGGCTTGGAAAGCGCGTTCGTTCCTTTTGAACGCGGCTCTGAGGAAGCTGTGTTCACACACCGACTTTGGGAGCGAGCGGCCTGGAAAAGGGTCTGGGAGCTCGGGAGCAGATCCGTCCTGTAGCCAGGCCTGTGCGCCCGGCATTTCTGCCCGCATCTTGCCGGCTCTTTCCCACAGAAAAGGGCAACTCTGTGGAGTAATCTGGGCTCTTGCCAGAACAGTGTGGGAAACTCCTGTGCAGGAACCTAATAGCAGTTGTCCTTGGGCTGAGAGCAGGAAGCTGCTCACGTGCGGTGGGTGCATCTCTGCATCCAGCCCCCTTCCCTGTGGCTCCTGCGGGGCACTCGCGAAAGGTGGCTGCTTTTCCTTCCCTTTTCCATGCCACAGCATTTGCTAACACTGCTTCCCTGCTGCGTGAGACGTGGCAGCGCCGCGAAATGTTGACAGAAGGAGAAAGTGACTCCTGATGCCGAACTCGAGACGACCATTTGCAGCTGCAGCAGCTGCTGCTCCCGGCCGCGCGTTCCCAGGATCCCCCCGCCTTGCTGAGCCACCCCGGCGGTGCAGAGAGGCAGGAACCTGAATCCTGCTCTGTACGGAGCCAGCCCTGCCCCCAGAGCAAGCCCCCAGGCAGAGCAATTCCTCAGGCGAGCCCTGATCCTTGCTGCTTTCCTTAAGAATTTGCAGGGTTGTGAAATGGAGCTTGTGGTTCCTGTGACCTGGGATGACAGTAGAGAGGGTACGAAATGAGCCCTGCGGAAACAGCTTCTTCATTCCTGTCCCACCCGGCTCGTTTCCGTACGCGACAGCTCCCTGGAGAGCACACGAAGCCCTTGATGTCTGCACGGGGTGTCCCTGCCGCAAGGCGGGTGCAGCGGGACGGCCGCGGAGCACCCGAACCTGCCGCGGCCGCCGCCTGCTCCCCGTGCGCTGCCCAAGCGGGCTCGGGAGTCCCTGCGGAGGCTCCTTCCCGCTGCGCAAACAGGGAACAGGCCACGGTGGCGGGATGAGACAAAAATACCTGCTGCCGCCACGCTGCGTTTGTACAAAACTCCGCCTTTTCAGAGACTTTGCTATAAAAAGAAACTTGTGTGGTTTTTTCTCCAGATATAGAGCGAGGCAGGTTGAGAACAGTGCCCTTCTCTTCACTGTGGTCACAGGTCCTTGACAACCCCAGCTGCTCCCCTAGACAGCAAGAGCAACACAGAGGTCTGCAGGTCTGAAATGCCACATACACATTAATCTGCTCTTGCTGCTGCGTAGTGGTTGTCTTCTCACCCCAAGACACAGGTAGGGAGAGACTGGTTGCACTGAGGTATTTCACTGGAAAAGATGTATTTTTGAACAAAAACGTTACAAACAAAAAGGTTACATGCCTTTATTAACACAAAACAGCCAAAATGTCTCCGTCTGGTTTATTTCCTCCTCTGTTACTTAATACCTCCTTTCTTTCAAAATGTTATAAAATGTCTTTCGAGCTTTATTTCGGCTACAGATACGAGACTGAAGCAGGGGGCCGAAGCACCAGTGCCGCGGGCTGGGAAGGAGCTGCCCAGGCTCGAGCCTCCTGTGGAGCCTGGGTAAGGCCCTGCTCCACTGTGAGCGTTACCTGCACCGAGTTGACGCACGAGATCCCGGCGCTGGGAACGGCTGCGCCGCTTTCTGCCAGCCGACCTGCCCGCTTGCAGCTGCCCGCTGGCGTTATTAATGCCAAGGTTTGCAGGGAATGTGAATTCTTTCTCTTGCATTCTGCCTCAGCACCTGAGGCTTTGTTTGCTTTGTATCTCTCCCAAATCTTCAACTGTTGTTGTTCTTTTTGCTCTTTGTAGTTTAATTTCAGACCCATTTGAGGCCACCTCCTCTTGCTAATGTCCTGCAAGGACACACAGTCGTGTCCTGGGCCAGCTGTGGTTCCTGCATGGCTCTGTCATAACATCGTTCTCACAAACTGAACTGGTTCCACCACTGCATGTTGGCCATTTCAGTTGTTTTTTTTCAGGAAAAACAAACAAACAAACAAACCTCTGCTGTTTCAGTTTTTCACTTCCCACTTCCAGTCCAAATGTGTTCATACCTTTCTGCTCAAGCACAAAATTCTCTTTCCATTTGAAAAGCTCTTTCCCCGCCCTTTACAAACTCTCCTGAGGATTTGTGCCAACGTGGCTTCTCTCACTTTTTTAACAGCCTAAAGTGTCTGTTCTCTTCCGCGCAGGAGCGCTGTCTTCTGGGTTTGTTCTGGTTTCACTCGACTGTGCTCGAGCACTGGAGCAGGTGGGAGGGTACATGATATTCCAGCAAGGTTCAGCACAGCAGCATCCGTCCTTGCGTGTCTTTAGTGGTGTCTCACCTGGGCTATCCCAGGGTTGCCTTGGCCTCGCTCTGCCAATACTGTCATTCCAGAGCGGAACAGGATTCCCAGGCTTTCTTCTCTCCTGTTCCTGTTGCTGGTGATCTTCCATTTCAGAAGAACAAGAGCCACGACCCCATCTAACCACTAGGCGGGGGGTTATTTTTAATGTAGTGTGTCCAGACACATCTGATTTGCCATAACTAGATTAAGGGTTTAGACCTGCAGCTTTTGGAGTGTTTCTCTTATTGGGCCTAATGTGATTAGAGGGCAGATGTGCCAACACAAAGTTTGTGGAAATGGGATCGAATTGCCTGTGGCTGTTGCAGACCTTTGCCTGGTAATAGCTCTTGTGCCATCTAACACAATTTCTCTGTTAAACATGTTCCCAATAAAATGCATGACTGTCAATTAAGAGAAATATTATGCTCTGGTCCTTTTGTATATGCAATTTAAAATGGGACTGGAGATGTTTTTGCCTCTTGGATGACTCTTATTTTTCCCTGCTTCCACATACGAAATGTTCCTTTATGCTGAGGGGACGTTGGGGGCGTTGCAGCAATGTGATAATGCAGGGCTTAGCAGGAGGCACCTCCTTTAAATTCGCTTGCTCACTTTGCTGTCGTCGGTCATCGGAGTGCAGGGTGTTCCAGATGCAGTAGTACTCAGACAGCATCCTGCTAGAATAGTGTTTTCTCTTGTAATTGCGGTAGAGAAACATCTTCTCTTTTGAAAGTGCTTCTTACATATTTTTTTCTCTGTGTTTTTTTCCAGGATCCTAGTTTTCTACGTGCTTTTTTGGATATTCCTATAGCAAAGGTGCCTCTTGATCACCACATGATGAACAGCTCCATGATGCCAAGCTCACATCCTCCTGAGCATCACCACTCTACAGCAGCCCCAGGGCATGATCACGGAAGCGGGATGATGATGATGGTAAGTGGAAAAGTCAGCATTAACCAGAGCTTTTCCTTGTCTATGGTTCAGAGCAGCTTGTCATCTTGGGGACAGTTCTCTTCAGAAGGGGAAACCAAACTCTGCGTGGGGAGACACGTGTTGATCCTGCTAAAACCCATCACCGTGGCTCTTCCAACATCAAAGAGAGGACAAGGCAATAAGCAGCATGAAACATGTTCCAGAGTAGGATCTTAGGACAAAATGATCTTCTCTTGTAACAACCTTCCTAGTAAGCTAAAAGCAGATATGAAAAGTGAGCATTTCTGGGAGGATTTTATGAGCCGCTTGCTGTGGTAGCTACTCAGCATTCATTTAAGCTACAGAATGAAAGGAGTTGTAATTTTTCTGCAAGAAATAGAGGTGGCCAGAGCCCGCTTGTGCTGTTGGCAAAAGCCTTACCTGGCACTGAGGAAAACGTGCGCTGTGATGGACAAATTGTGCTGACCTGCAGGCAAGTAACCTCTGTGCCCTCCCCGTCCTGAGCGTAATTTGGCCGCGCAGGGTTTGGGGGCGAAGCGCTGCCGGGCTCGGTGCCACCTTGGCATTCTGGGCCTGTTGGACCTGTGTCCTGCTGTTCCAGCCGGCTTTGATTTAAACGAGTTCGGACTTGCACTCACTGGCACCACCGAAGCCTTGCAGAGATGCTGGCCAGAGTTTCCATGGACCCAGCTGTAGGATCGGTGTTATTGTGCACAGCCAGCTCTAGGAATGACTTTTTCAGCTTTTTCTTCCTTTTCTAAATACTTTCAAGTAAGTTTTGAATTATTAAAACATAACTCTTTATGTTTAAACTTTGAAGGGAAGAAAGGGAGCGTGTGTTTCAATTTAAAATGAGAATGTACTCGGGAGGATATTTTGAAAAACTTCAAGTTTTCCTTCCAGGCAGGTGCCTAAAAAAGAAAAGAAAAGGAAAGAGAAAAAAAAAAGGCAAAATGTAATGCAAGCAGTATCAAGGTAGGAGAGGAGAGGATTAGAGCATCCATCCCTTTTGGGAACATGGTCAGTAGAGCCCAGTGGTGCTGCTGGATCTTGCAGTCCATTTTTTCTCCCTCGTGGTGCCTCTAAAAGAGTTTCAAGAGCTCCTCATGAAGGTCTTCAGATAGTCTGACTGTTAGGTGTTGACGGTGTCTGGTCTGTTCTTTTTCATATGAATGCTCTTTCTTTACAAATGCCAAGTGCATTCTTATAGATGGTGAAATTAGTCTTAACTCTCATCTTCAGAAAAAAAAATAAAAAGCTCTAATTGAACAATCAGAGAAGATCAAACAGAGGTTCCTCTAGCTTACCGAGTGCTTTGCATGCAAAGACATTGTAAGTAACTGTGCTGAGGACATACTAAACAGCGGCCACGTATTTAGCTGAACTCCAGCTTGCCTGAGATCCTGACTGTCTCCCCTTGCCGGGGCATTCACTGTGCAGGTCACCCAGGTAAAGCTCTGCTCCTGCAGCAGTACTTAGTTGTTGTATTGGACTCTTCCCATAGAAAATTAGGAAATTCTGTAAGGAGACGGCAGTCTGCTGGCACGGGGCAGGAGAAGCGGCAGGATTCAGCTCGACCAACCCGGGTCTGGATGAGCTCACGTGAGGTTGGGGGAGGGAGGCTCCAGCACCCCAGCCCATGAGTACCCGTGGGGTGGTGGGGATGAGATCCACAGGGACATCCCTGACTTCATCTGCTGCCAGGGGGCAAGGAGAAGGCCCTTCTCCATAACGGGTACTTACTTTGAAGGAAAGTGCCCTCTGCTCAGGGGAACTGCCTAAAAGAGCTGCCCACTAGTTCTGGAAATGGGAGCATCCTGGGCCATGCCTGGCTTGCATCTGTTACACTGGGTTTCCTGAAGAGCTTCTTTACGGTGACCAGATGAAACAACCTTACTTCAAATTCTTGTTAGAACTCACCATAACATAACAGCCTCTCCTAAATCCTGAGAATGAGCCGTTGAGGCTCATCCTGATGTGTTTTGTCCTGGCAGGCAATGACTTTCCACTTCAGCTATGAGAATGTGCCGCTGCTCTTCTCCGGGCTTACGATCAATTCTCCTGGAGGTCAGTATAACCACCTCATCCAAACAAAAAGCTTGCAAAGGATGAACACTGCTGCAATTACCCTGCTCTGTAAGTTTATTTATGACCTATAAAAAGAGAGATAAAAAATATCTAGGCACAATGTGGTTAACCTGTTTTAACATTGCATCTGTGGAGTGAAAGAAAAGGGAATGTGTTCATTTAATTCCAGAATTTGGCTGGTCATATTAGCAAAACCAGTCATAGGTTTCATTCCACAGACTCCATATGTAATTCACATTTACGTACGTGTAAGTGTGCATACAGTGCCCAGCCAAAGCTTGTGCAGTATGACATAGGTGTTGAATCACCAGCTGTCTCTTCTGATATGTTTTGATGCAAATGTCTCACGTTGGGGAAATTCAACAACGTTTCCTCTTTTATCAGAAATGGCTGGTGCTTTTGTGGCTGTCTTCTTCCTAGCCATGTTTTATGAAGGCCTAAAAATTGCCCGAGAGTGTCTGCTCCGTAAATCCCAGGTCAGCATCCGCTACAACTCTATGCCAGTGCCAGGTCCAAATGGCACCATCTTGATGGAAACACATAAAACCGTCGGGTAAGAACTTCCCTTTCTTCTAAGACAAGTTTCTTCAACAGCAGTGAGTGGCAAAATTTGGGACAGAAAAAAAAAATCTTTATCCAGTATAACTCTCTGCAAAGTTATTAACTCCAGATATGGGCATTAGCTGAGCATGGAGAATTCTAATGTCTGTGCTTGAATCACTTGGCTGTGCTTTAGTATAGGAGGGAAATTGGTGGGTGTTAAATAGCTCAGTTTTTCGGGAGAGGTAAAGAACACATTGAGGAGATCCTGGGAGCAGAACAGGGGTGGAATATCCAGCAATGCTAACAGATAATGCTGAGGATCCTTCTGTGAGCAGCAAGTTAAGCCTCTGCTTGCAAAACAAGTCACCTTGCTTATAGAACAGGGTTAAGATAAACTTGAGGAAATCTTTCTCAGCTAAACAGTTTTGTCCTTCTAGTGAATGCTGTATTTCCTTTGTTTTAATCAGCTTTGTCAGGAAAACCATAGTTTTGAGTGACAAATGCATGCAAAAGGCTATGCAGGCACCTCCAGACTTCTTTATCCCCTCATATTTCATAGAATGCTTAAGGTTAGAAGGGACCTCTAGAGATCATCTAGTCCAACCCCCTGCACACGCAGGGTCACCTAGAGCACGTGGCACAGGACTGCGTCCAAGCAGGTTTTGAAGATCTCCAGAGAAGGAGACTCCACAACCTCTCTGGGCAGCCTGTTCCAGTGCTCTGTCACCCTCACTGTTAAGTATTTTTTCCTTAAGTTCCTGTGGAACTTTTGATGCTTTAGTTTCTGGCCGTTTCCTCTAGTTCTATCAGTGGCCACCTTGGCTTCCCATCAGCTTATGGACTAAGGTTGCTCTGCATTTTCCCTTCCATGTCTCATGGACACTGACTGCTGTTTCTGTGTTCTCAGCCAGCAGATGCTGAGCTTCCCTCACCTCCTGCAGACCGTGCTGCACATCATCCAAGTCGTGGTCAGCTACTTCCTCATGCTGATCTTCATGACGTACAATGGCTACCTCTGTATCGCCGTGGCAGCAGGGGCCGGGATGGGATATTTCTTCTTCAGCTGGAAAAAGGCAGTTGTTGTGGATATCACTGAGCACTGCCATTAATACTGGGTGCTGCCCAGGAGCCTCTCCACCTCTGCTCTCTTGAAATGCAGCCACCCAAGGACTGGATCATTCCTAAGCTGAAAGAGAACCAATAGAATCAATCCAAGTTCACTACAGTTCCTGTCTGGGATGGAGGGAAGTGAGGAGCTGGGGATGCTGCTCCCTCGGGCTGCAGGCTGGCGGCTGGGCTGACTCTGGAGGATCCCATAGCCATTCTTGGCTAGGATTTGCTTTATTCTTAGATTACGCCGTGATTGAAATTAGTTGGCTGACAGAAATATAGAGGTTATTCATTTTTTAAAACAAAAACTTTTTTTTATTATTATTTTTAAACTGTAAATGCTTATCACCTGTGAGGGTTTCATGAACAGCAGGTAAAGATGGAAGTTGCCAGGGGAGCCTATGTGTGCAAATGGCTATATTATTTTATTTTTTTTTTAAGTGTACATGATGCCAACGGCAGAGATCTCCTGGCATTGTGGCTTTTGGGGCCAATGGCGCCTTCTGACTCAGTTCTGGGAATGGAATTCCCCAAGTGCAGCCACTGGGAAAGCTGCTGCTGCACAAGAAACTGGCCCAAGTCTGTCCTGGCACATGAGCTCTGTGCACCCGAGTGTCCTCCAGGCCTTGTTAGTCCCCAATGCCGCATTATTCAGCTTTAAGTGCTAACATTGCAGCGTGGCTGCTTTCACTTCCCGACCACAGAAATGAACTGAGTAGATGCAAGACAATGACTGCATATTCATAGGGCGAAAAAAATATTTAAAATAACCATTGAATCTCCCTTGAATTCATGTTGAATTGCACATGGATGGATTTAGAGCTAGACGCTCAGTTTACTAAAACTCATTCTGTAAAAGACACAAGACCTAAATAATATTTGTTGCCGCTTAGAGGTTAAAATGTGTGAAGAGGGCATTCCTTGATTGAGATGAAGGAAATAAAACAACCATGTATCTGTGAAGGGGAGATTTGGGGAAGAGAAGAAAGCATTGATTTGATCTTCTCAGGTGGAATTTGGAGCAGCTTGGGTTGATTTAAAAAAAATAGTAATAAGTGTGACCCAAGTGACTCCTCTTTGTCTTAATAATCATGCTGTGACCTTGCCAGCTTACTGAGGTGCAGAGTTGTTAGTGTCGGTGGCAGAAAAGTCCAGTAGCTCAGTAGAACTTTCTGTTCAGGGCTATGAGATCTGCAGGTTTAACAGGCAAGAGAGGATCGCTCCCAGGATGGGTGTTGCCCAGAAAACACTTTGGGTGTTTTAGGAGAGTTTTGGTTTGGCACTTTGTTGTTAAACTGCTTCCTGATGTAGGGAAGGCTGTGTGGTGCCAAGCAGGGCCCTCTGCCCAGGACACTGCTCCATGGCGTCCTCGTGAGGGGAGTTAGGGCAAGGCCTGACCCTGTGCATCCAGGTTCTGGTGCTGCTACTACTTCTAAGCCCACTCTCAGCCTGCCACCCTCCTTGAAAAACAAGAGCAAATCTCTGTTTGCTGCTGCCAGGCCTCTTGCCAGGATCTCGTACTGCACCTGCAAAGCTCAACCTTTGTGTGGGTGATGCCAGGCATGAAAGCAGGACACCTTTCTCCTCGTTTCTGTAGTAAATCTACATGTGAGTGGAAGTAGCATGGCTACTTTGATGGAAAGATTATGGATGCACCTGACAAAAGAGATAGGAAAAGCTCTTCCTTCCCCAGTCTGGTCTGCAAAGGGAGTGTGTGACACTACAGAAAGACATCTGCAGTAGTCTGGAGTCTGGAAGACACTTCAGAGGACTTCTCCAGATGCCAGCGTGGAAAATAGGGCCCTCCCAGTTCTTGTGAGAGTGCGGGTAAATCTCGAGGCTTGTTAGAGAAACCAGCAGCTGTTAACTGCTCAGGTTGCTTGTGCTTCGAAAGCTTTGCACTGCAGAGACTTAATCTCTGAAGGAGTCTGGAGCTGATAAATGCTCTGACTGGTTTCTCTTGAGCAAACTGGAGTTGTTACCATTATAGGGATGTCTGATTACAGGGTACAGTCACTTGTGGCTTCGTATGCTGACACTACTAACTGGGTATACCTCAAGATTTGCTAGATCTTCCTCTAAAGTAACACCTGGGCTTGGCCTGATCTTCCTGCTGCCATGGGAGCTTTTTAGCCACCTTTGCTTTTGTATTCAAATGGCCAGATTTGCACTCGTGTCAGAGAGGGATGATTTGGGGATTATGCCGTAGTGGCTCCTCTCATAGAAACTCAGTTCATGCATTAGCTTCTCTGCCTCATCTAGATGCAGCATCTAGTGCCTCCAAATTGTTAGCACCAGTGAGGATGAGCACTTCAGCAGTCAGAGGGTTCATCCCTGTCTCACGCTCACAGAAGTGGGCACTCAGCTCGCTCATGGGGTGCGGAGAGGGAAGTGGCACAGACTTAGCAGTGCTCTCCAGGGGAGCAGGAAGCCGGCCACAAGACTCCAAAGTTCCTAGCCTGGGCCCCAGCATCTTCCAGCAGCTGGTGGGAATGACCATGTGAGCGTCCGGCAGTCCCGGAGTTGTCCAGTCCCTTGGGAGTCAAGGCTGGGCCCTGGGGAGAAGGGCCCAGGGGAAGGTGTGAGGATGGTGGAGAAAAAGGTACTCTTCAAGAATAAGCTCTCTGCAACAGGGCTGGTGTTTCCTCACAGTTGCCTGTAGCAGTGCTCACTGGGCACATCGTGGAGAAGGGCTGTGTCCTCTGTGCTTCCGAGTTTGCTGAAACAGTGAGGTATGACTGAAAAATGGATGTCTCCAGTCCCTGGCTGCCCGCCAGCTTTGGCCACGCAGTCTCCGTTACTTGGTGACAATCCAGAGAAGCCACCTACCTCCGTGTGTCACAGCCTCCCTCTGCTGCACCGCAGGCCGCTGGGCTCCCGGCCCAGGTTGCTCCTGGCTTTGCCAGGCTCTGGGCAAAATGTGGCCTCCTGGTGACATGGGATCACTGTCCTGGCTGCCAGTGCTGCAGGCCCAGCCTCTCTGATGTCTGTAGTTGAGGTTGGCCTAGTGTCAATGCCAAACATGCATTAAATAGTGCTCAGAGGGAGGGCAGGACTCAAACGTTACTACACTCGAGGAAATACTAATGCATCGGTACCTACGTAGCAAACTTGTGATGTCCTGTGCCTGTCTTCTCTGACTGTGCCTCTGGATTATCACCTTGGAAGACATGCTCAAGAGCCCCAGGCCGTGGTCAGCACCTGGCTCTTGCTTTTCCTCTGCCTCTCGAGTGCCTTTCAGTTCATCTCAAGCCAGTCCCAACAGATCCAGCAGGATGTATAGTTTTGTTTACAGTGGACCGTCACTTTTGTTTTCATTCGTGCTCTTTGTGGAGGTAAATTGCCTGATGTTACTGTGAATATCGAGAATCCCCTGTAAATAATTAGCCAATAAAATAGATTGCATTTTACTGTGGCGTGTGAGTGTTTCAGAAATAACCCTCAAAGCAGCAGAGGCAGCAGCTTTCACTGAAACATTCAGCAAACGGCTCCAAGAGCAAGTGCCTGGTTTTAATAACTGGACCCCAGTACCCGGGCAGCTCTGGGGGGGTCTTCTCTAGGCCTTGGTCTCTTGCAGTCCCCTCCTGCGCCCGTCACGAGGGCACCTGGGGGGTAAGTGCCACCTGCCCGCGGCTGGGGATGGAGCAGCAGCAGCTTCTGGGCCCATGAGCCGTAACCCAGAGGCTGCTGGAAGGGGAGCACTGCAAATTCCTCACGTTGAAGTAGCTGCTTGTTTTAGTCTACTCCTGAGTTTGGGGAAAGGCGAGATGGAAAGAGGACCTAGTGCCTCCCAGATCTGCTTTCCACTACCCAAGGTGAGGGCAAAGGACACAAATTTGAGGGGAGATGTAGTAATAAACCCATGTCATCATGGGGGAACATCTATATGCAGCAAGGAAGACCAAAGCTCTCCTTCCCAGGGTTTTATCCTGGTTTGTATTCACTTATGCAAGAAAAATGGGGTTGGGTTGGTTTTCATTCTGAAACCTCTTTCTGTTGCTCCTAAGATGTTTCCTGTCAGATTTAGGGCACACTGGGAATGTTTGCCTGGCAGTGTGATTCCCCATAATTTCATGTGCTATGAGATGGCAGAACGAGTTCTGGTCCAGCCCACGTTACTCCGTCCAATCTGAAGAGGAGCCTGGAAGAGATGCAACTTCTGTGCATTTCTCCAGCCTGTCCTGAAATCAGATGCATCACACCAGGCTGTAGCACGAAGTCGAGTCTGGAGCTCAGTGGTCTGAAAACATAACTTGGGCAAAAATATTTCTTATATTAGCTAATCTACCGCTTTTTTTTTTTTTTTCACATGCCCAGGGCTGTGATTAGTAGCTGCGAGGTGGGTACAGCCCCTTCAGGGGGGTTATGCTCGAAGTTTGATTTTAGGAACACGTGGGCAGGGCAGTGTTAGTTTAAGCTGTGGGCTGAAACCAGAAGGAATTGGAGTTGTTTCACAAAAATCAAATGCCTAAAGAGCTGCAGCCTTCTTTTGTGCTGGAAAGGAAGAGTAACATGTCAGCATGGTCTTTTTTTTTTTCTCCCCTTCAAATGAGAATTTCTTTTAGACATGGGAGGAGAAAATAAGCAAAGAAAAAAATGTCACAGCAAGAGAGAGGAATGTTTTTTGAGGATCCAGATTCTGCCTCAGGTTCTGCTGCTGGCCATAGGTGGACGATGGTTATTTGTGTTGCCAGTAACTGTCCCCGAGCAGTCGCTGCTCCTCTTGGCACACTTCACACTCAGTAAAAAACTTCCCCCTTGCCCTGCTCCTACCCAAACCTACAAAGAAACAGGAAGAGAATCTGAGCATCTCATACACCCTCACACCCCCGCACAACCTCCCAGGCTGTTTCTCCCTTTCCAACAATTACAGTCCCCATATCTCTTTTTTAATGTGGTCGATAATATCACGGAAGTGGGAACCTGTACATGTTTCGGGTGTAGCTCCGCGCTGCTCAGCTCTGCCACATTCAGGCTTCCACCGGGTTTCTCCAGCCAACGCTGGCACAGGCAGAAACGCTGCAGCGGCCACACGCGAGCTCCCCGCGAGCACCGCGTCAGCCGCACCTTGTGCGCTTTGATTGATGGATCCAGGTTTGGGGAGCGCTGCCAAACTGCCACAGGGACAAAGGCCCCACAGCTCAGTCTTTAGTACTGTATTAAAAAGTATTGTCAAGGCGCGTGAATGCAGGACAGCCTGGGAATAAACTCCAGACTGAAGCAGGTCAGCAGCAAGGCCAGGCTGGTGAACAAGCAGCAGGGAGAGTCACAGGCTGTGGAACATCCTGCCAGGGAGATGGCTGGAACCGTGGTGCTTGAGGCATTGATTATATTACTGCTTTCTATACTAGAAGATGGTCAGAAAAATGTTCTACGGGAGTAGGGAACCTTTCCCATTCCATCCCTAAGGTTTTTAAACACCGACAACCTGCCTCTTCAATTTTTTATTTTGCTGTGTTTTGGTCACCTGGTCACCCCAGACTCCTCTTCAGAACTCTTTTTCTTGCTTTTTAAGCTTTGTACCCATCCAACTGACAGTGGCATCTGTCACTGGTACCAATGTGGGTACTTGCTCGTGAGTCACTATTGGAAATGAATCCATTTTTCACACAAACCATCAATAAGGAGATATTTAGCAACCTTTGATCCCAGCAACAACCTCCTGCTACACAGCAGTGCAGCCAGAACGATGCACTCGCCAGCTCTGAACAGAAGGGAATAAGTTTAAAAGGGGAAAAAAAAGCTTAGAAAATACAGAATATTGTTCCACATCCGGGTGCCCGGTGTGTTCTGCTGTACTGTGCTCTGTGGCCTTTTCCCTCCAGGGAAACAACCCACATCGGAGTGGAGCCACTGGCTCTAGAGCAGCTCAACAGCCGTGTTTGGCACTAGTCTGTTTTAACAGCCCTGACAGCGCCTTTCTGGCCTTCTCCAAAGAGGACAGAGCAGCATCTGCGAGAGGCTTTGCCCCTTGGACCCAGAGCCCCCAGACCTTTATTCACCCGACCTGTAAAGCATCACGTGGATGCTGCTCAGCACCTCCTCCTTGGGGTGCCGCGTGCGTGTCGCTGTCTCGTGGCACTGACGGCGTCAACGAGCGCATCCCGCTGCCTCCATTCCCAGATCCGAAGCTCCCCCAGGCTCTCCAGGCAGCGGCGTCTCCTGCGCAGTCCCGCTCCCTCGCCAGCCACGGAGCTTGCACGCTTTTAAAACAAGACATGTTTATTTAAAACACAGCGCTG